TCCCAGGTAGAACCTATATGTTGCTGTTACATTACTCTTTTCAGTCTTAACATCAGAATCGTAGCTTTTCTGTACAGCTATACATGTGCTTCTTTATCTGTACACTGAAATGTAGGCTATAAAAGTTAGCCTTTCTCAGAATGTATAAGCTTGGAAAGCAGGACGTGCAGTTTATAGAATCAGGAAGATGATGCGTTTCACTAGGCTAATACATGACATCTAACTTCCAACCTAAGGGTGGCCTTAGGAGTTTTAAAACACAGATTAGCATAGTTTCATACCTATCGCTCAAGAAATTCGCTCTCATCAAGAAGTTATGTTGAGGGCCAGCCAAATGGCTCAGCAGATTAAAGCACCTGCAAGCAGGCGCAGGGGCCTGCTGTGCCCGCTACCAGGGTGCCATGAGACGGCAATTGAGACTGGGCGTGGTGGCATGTGCCTGTAATCCCAGCTCTTGGGTCGCTATGAGTCAGATCTAGTAGTGAGACCCTGAACACCCTGTAGACCCTTCCCTAAAAATACAGGGAAAAAAAGAGAGTAAAAGAAAAAAGAAAAAAAAGTTTTCATTCTGCACGCTGCAGCCACGCAGGAGGCAGCTGGTGGCCCACCACTAATCAAATAGACTTGGCCACGGAGTTACAGCGCTGCCTGCCACGTCTCCCAGGGTGAGGTACTTTTTCCAAAGTAACTTGAGGTCAAACGTGTGTTCTGTGAGAATAATGCGTCCCTCAACAACTGTTCACCTAATCATTCAGGTAGATAGAGGCCTTTATTTGACTCTATTATTTTGAGGGATTGCAAAAAGGTGAATTTCTGACTAACTTTTCCTTCCGCCTTAAACGCATCCGTCTGTGAATGGCTCTTCCCCCACGCCATTTCCCCGTTCTATAGGGTCACTATGGATTCACGGGCTCTTATTAACTTGACTGTTATAGCTTATGACAGTCATTTTTTTCTAGCGTTCACATTATTCCAGAAGTGACCAGTGGGACCTCTAAAGCCACCCTGTGTCCCTCTGGCGACTCCACTCATCTCAGAGCTGTCGCTTGCTTTCTAGCCCAGGACGACAGGCCAGCCTCGTCTTCTGCATCGGCTCTAGACTTGGGCTCAGCCTCTTAATTTATTCCAATTAGTTCCAGGCCCCTTTTTTATTCGTCTGGTGTATGCAGTTCTGGGGATCAATCTAAGTCTTCTGTCACGCTAGTAAATAGCACCGAGTGACGCTCCAGTTCGGTTGAATGCACCAAAGCCTGGCGCATGCTGCTATGTCTATTTCCACTTCATCTTAGAGTACATAAATGAAGACCCAAAACATACTGTGTATCCTTTCTCTTCTGAGTACTTCTACTCATATTTCTTTATTCTCTGCCCTATAATACATATAATAGCTATAAATTGATAATATGAATAATACCACTAACAATCAGGTTGATAAAAGATACTTAGTGGAAGCCTTTTTTTTTTTTTTTTTTT